ATGTTGCCTGTAACTCCTACCATATTTCTAACCTGATTCATGTGCATCAAGAAATGATTATAAATTCTCCTCTGTATTAAGAAATATTACAGCATATTTGTTTTTAAGGCTTTTAAGATACTCCCACTGTGCTAGTGAGAGCCAGGATTGCCAAATGTGCCAGCTTATGACACATCATTGACAGCATGGGTAAAAAAACCTCTTCACTTCTGCACATACAAAAGTGGTAGAATTTGTTCCTTGGTCTGATCCAGCTTGGGGAGAATTCATAGCTGCTCATAGTCTCTTCTACCTGCTGCCTGCCATCATCCAGATATCTGGTTACATGTTTTTCCCTGTGACTTGCTAGTTTCTTGGAACAGAGACCACCTCCTCCTTCACTGAAAGGATGCCCAATGTAAAAGATGCAGCTACACTGAACAACAGTTCTGACAACAAGGGTCAACTTCAGCCCTCTGCTTTAGACTGGATTCAATCTTTTTTTTTTTTTAACAAAACATAAGATGAGCTAAATTAGAAAAGCCTTATCAGCATACCCAGGTTTATGTATCTGCCTTTCAGCATTATAGAGCCCATTTTCTATGGAAGTTAAAGTGCATCTGCCAAATGGCTAGAGATGAAGTTTAACATCTTCTGTTGCTTTTGTCCTCTGTTTATTCTTCAGGATAAAAAAAAAAAAAAACAAAAACAACAAAAGAACAACAACAACAATACAAAACCCCACATGTCCCTTGATACTTGGGCTTTCAAGATGCAGTAGGTAAATAATTAAGGCACAATATACTGTCAAAATACTTATCAAGAAACCTTACCTTATCTAAAGTTAAGCGCATACTACAAAGATCTGTGTATGCTGACAGCTTGATCCTGTGGCATGAGAAACATCTCTTAAGCAAGGCAACTCCAAGAAATTAACCAAGTAGCTATGTCACAAGCCAAAGGCAAGTTTTTCTTGCATCTTTCCTACAGATTATTTACACATACTGGCAAGAGAAAGTGTTATTGTTCCTACTTACTAGAGCACTTCTGCTGCGCACATATATATATACACCTAGATAAACTCATAGAGGAAGCACAGGCTAACCTAAACATGTTACAAAACAAACCCTGTAAATACAATAACTGATTTTTTTTTTTGCAAAATGAAGCAATTAATGCATTGCTCATAAGACAGTGAGGTGCTTCAGTCAAATATATGGTTACTTTGAAATAGAAGAAATACATTAAGTCCTAACCTGTATCAAGGCTTAAATTGTGAGAAAAACATTGGCCTCTCAAACAAAATGAAGCTGTTCCCACACTTCCACCTTAGCTAAAGATTCAAAATGGTTAAGTAATTTTTCTTTCACCAAGAATAACTTAAACAATTGTCCCTACAAATACGATTTACATCTAGAGTCATAATTTTGATGTCTATGTTAAAATCTATAAACACCAAAACCTAGCAACATTAAAGTCACATGCTCACAAAATATTAATTTTAAAACAATCTGTAGCTGTTTATGTGATTCAAGAGGACCACCTAAAAAGCTTTGATTTTGTAAGCAGAGAAAGTTTGATGCGCTAGCCTAAGCAGGCACTGCAGCAAAAAAAAAACCCAAACCCTGGCAACCTAGCCACTGCTGGTTTTACTATGAAAAGCCATTCGATACATCTGAGCATGTTGAGCTATGTCTTATATCCCAACTAAAGTTTGCGTAAAGCTGCCATTTCACCTGGGAATCAACTGTACATTGATTAGAGAGATATTTAATAGAACCCTCTTCTCTCAGTCACCCAATACTGGGTGATTCCACATTCTTCAGGCACTACTTGCGTTTTTGATGTACCTGACTATAAAGTGCAGTAACTCCTGTCTCTGATGCTATAAGCTACTGAAAGCATAGCCCACATTATTTTCAAATACACATCAGTTAAAATTATCACAATCGTACTTAGAAGGTATATATAATGTTGATTCTGCACTATAATTTTAGTGTTAATCAAGACAGTGTCAGATATACAAAACCACAAACAATGTGAATGATATACAGCTTCTCCTTTTGATGTGTTTGTAATCTATAACAAACTAACTCATTAGCATTTAGTTAGAATGTTATGTAATGGTTGAGGTATTTGTAATAAAAACAGTATTTATGTTAGCCTGTTCTTCACAGACATAAAAGCTGTCTTCATGTGATTTTTATTAGGACTTCATCTTCCTCTGCTCTTTATGCATTTTTTAAGACTTCTGTGCACTCGGTTTTCATGTCACCAACACACACAGTATTATTTCCACCCACCTCCTCACAAAAAATCTCAGCTTTAATTTTTACACCTGCTTTCATCCATGAGAAGTTTCTATGGGGTTTTGTGAAATCCAGACCCAAAAAATCCAAGGGCATGAAGCAGAGCGACGAAAAAATTTCCTACAGAAGATGAACAACTGGTTCTACCAGTAGAACACCACTGGCAGTCCCGTCATTACAAGCCCAGCATCCATCCCCAACTAGTGGAAAGGTGGCGTATTTTCAGGGCGGAGGCGTTTTGTGGTTGTTTTGGGTTTGTTTGTTTTGTTTTAAACTCAAGCCCTCTATTACTGTATACAGCCTCTGAAGATACCCCACTCTTCCTTCAACAGAAGGAAGAGGTATGTTTCTTTCTTCATTCACATCTCTAATATGCTAAACAAGGGTTTACTCTTTGCAAGAGCTCACTATAAAGGGTTTAGTCCTTATGTAAGCGCTACCTTTTTCTTTTTATCTTCACATCTAAGCCTCTTATGTGCAACACCCTTATATGGTATTTAGACCACATTTTCCACCCTCTCTCCACTTTCACATCATTCCTGTTAGCCTGGAAAATATTCTGGAACAAAAGGCTTGCACTTTCAGTAACCTAGGACACCTGGCTGAAGTCAACCCCATACAACATACCCGCTACTTTGACTTTTGATTCTTTCTCTTATTGACATATACCATTAATTCAGACAGAACAAAACCTACATGACAGCTCCCTTCAGAACTGCATCATTTCTTCCTTGATTGTTGTGGCCCATTTCACTTTCCCCAGTAGACTTCAGGATGTGGGGAAACAGGACCTACAGAAGATGCATACCACAAATCTGTACCACTGAACAAAGACTCCAGCCACTAAGTTAAAACTGTAGAGTGATGCAACTATTCTGCACTACAAAAAGCTAGGGTTCCTGTTATGAAGTCTAAATGACAGTAAAGATATCATAAATTGCTACTAAACTGCAAAGAGACAAAATATTTATAATACTAAGACTCACAGAAGACACTCTGCATTTATTTATACATATTTTATAAGCTATTATTTACCAAAGCAATAAAATTTACGCAGGAAACACATACACTAAGGCAGAACTCTAGGTAACAGACACACACACAGAGGCCATAACCCTAGTCTCTGCACACAAGCACTGGCCTAGGAGAACTAAGTTCTCACTTCAGTTTAAACAGACACCTCTTAAGCACACATCTCCACCAATGCAGTTGTACTCCTCACACGCTAAGCACAATGTTCTGAGGGACAAACTGCCTTTTCACTGAACATTCACCAAGTTCAGAGAATTCCCAGAACTTTGAGATTCCTTAGTCCCAAGAAGACTGTAGCACCACTGCACTAAACCACCCCAAAATTACTGTTGAAGAAAAAGGCTCTAGACTATGTAATTCAGAAAAAAATGAGTTATTCAGCTCCTGGCAGTCAGTATTAAATGGTAATCCTTTTGTTTCTCACTGATGGACAAATGAGATCATGTCCTGTTTCCTCCCCCCTTCAAAAGCAGTTTCTTGTCTGAGCAGAGCTCTTAAGACCAGACAATGGGTAGGCCTGATGCCTCACTGCAGAAGAAATGAAGCTATTAAAAATTTAAATACTATTCCTTCTGTTGGAAATTCTACTAATTTCTAATAATGTACCCATCTGACCCCTGTAATCAAAAAACAACTAGGAAAAATGATCCTTCCTTAATGACCCAGTCTAAAAACTTTCACAAAGGAACAAGCTTACAAAACACGTGTGAGAATCAAAAAAAGAAAGAGAAAAAACCCAAAGTGCTCTGTTCGATGCCCCCTTCCCCATAAAGAGGGCCTGAACTGGAAAGTATCTGAGCCATCTTTAGCCCCAAGATTTTCAATCTCTGCATGGCTACCATTATGCCCACTGCAGATTTAGCTGCCTGAATTTTAGCCGTGTCATCTAACCATGCTCTCACCATCCTTCAAGCGCTAACAATAAGAACACCCCTGACCCTGCTCACTCTACCCCTACAAATATTGTCCCTAAGAGCAGAAACAGTACCTTCCTGAACGGTGCTTCCCTCAGTCCTACATCAAAACACTCAGGAATAGTACATCTCAAGAACTGCGGATGAATACTTCAGAGTTAGAAAACCAAAGCGCTGCGCGTGCCTGCAGCACACGAAGGCTCCCCTCGCCCTACGTTTCTGGAGAAAGAATCACAGCCAAAAATCGTGAAGACAAACGCACGAAAGGGACGGCACATGTCTCATGTAATCGCCCCAAAGACCCAGGCCGCTAAAGAAAAAGAGGAGAGGGGAAGCATCGCGACACGGACGAAAGGAGGGAGAGGGGGAGAAAAAAACAGCACATTCGTAAGAGCTGCCCTCAGCTGCCCCAGACACGGCAGCCCCCTTTCGCCGCCCGCGGGGGAGGCCCGGCGCGGGCGCGGCCGGCCCCAGGCGGCGATGCGGTGCGGCGCTGCCCAGGGGCGGGAAGCAGCCCGGCCTGCGCGCCCGCCGCGGGCCCAGCGCTGCACCGCCCCTCTCCGCCCGACCGCGACGGGCAGTGGGATGCCGACCCCATGGTGCATCCTCTTCCCCGCCGGCCGAGGCCCAGCGCCGCCACCAGGCCGGGCGGAAGCCGCCCCCGCCCGGGGCCATGCGGCGCAGGCCGCTCTCCTGCTCCTCCCAGCGCCGGTCCGCGCCGCGGACCCACAGGGCGCTGCGGATGGAGGAGATGACGCCGGTTTACCTGGAGCGCAGCGCGGCGGGCCGGCGCTCCGGCCTCCCCGGAGACTCCCGGACTCGGCGAGGCCGCTACCGCTCCCGGCGCCGCGAACGCCGCGCCTCAGCCGCTTCCACACAGGGACCAAGATGGCGGGCGGCCAAGCCGGCGCCAACGACGTCTGACCTCACCGCGCCGCGCGAGCGCGCGCACCAGCTCGCCGGCTCCGCCCCCGCGCCCCCGCGCACGTAGCCCCGCCGTGCCGCAGTCCGGCGCGCTCAGCGTCCGGCGCGCCCCCTGGCGGCGTGGGGGGGCGGGCGGCGCCGCTCTCTGGCTCCCGTCACCCGTGTCACAGCCCGCGTGGGGACCGGTAGCCGCCCCGGGGGGCACGGGCGGGGACAGCCTCTCCCGGAGGGAAGCCCGGATGCAAGTACACAGCGCCCGTCCTTGGGTTTGCACAAAATCCCCCGATGAAGGCACCAGCGGGTGCAGCGGCAGGCTCTGCCTTCTCCCTGTGGGCTTCAGGGTTCCCTGGCAATGGTGGGCCCGCTTGACCATCTGGATTTGTCACTGTGTATACAATTTTTAGTATGGGGCTGTGCCCTCTGCAATGACATGGGGCACTGGGTCCACCTGACCCCTCCACTGATAATAAACCATTAATAAAACCACTAGAGAAGACCAAATCCATGAGGTTTAGTTGTGACTACGAACTTTACCTCCCAAAGATATGCATCAGACACATAAAAAGACACATACAAAGATCTCTACATCTAATGTTTCAGAAAAATCTCAAGGTGTTGTGGATTTTGATGAAATTTCATAGAGGAAGCTCTGGATGAGGAAGGAGGAGGGAATACTGGCAACATGAACATCAGCATGTCCCAAAATGCCTCTTCCCAAAAGCCCTCTGGAGATCCACCCTGGTGCTGATGCAATGTGGGCACAGATTGCGGCACGTTTAGGGTAAATGCTCTGCATGGCCCTTGGTGGGTGTGAGACACTGTGAGCAGGAGGCCAGGCAACAGGCAGCACCGGCATCTGAGCTCCTGCCAACACTGGGTCAGCTCCAGCCACACTGACAGCACCCAGCAGCAGCACAGCTTAGCACCATCCACAGCTCACCCAGGACCAGGTCACACTAGGTTTCATCTACGGCTGGGGACCTGCCTGGGGGCTCCAGCCCAGCCGAGGGTACTTAGAAAAGAGGAAACCTGCCATGAGAGCCACTGGCAGGACTAGGAGGTACATCCAGTGGCAGCTGGAGGAGCTGTTGGAGCAGTCATCCACCACCCGAGTTCTCAAGGGCTTCAGCGTCCGCTGCCATTGAGTCAGGATGGCGTCTCTGGCCCCTCTCCACTTCCCCTGTCCCACCAGTCGGTACTGGTAGGGTGAGCAGGGGCCGAAGAAGATGGCCAGGGCCAGCCGGGGGTCCGTCAGGAGCAGCTTCAGCACGCTGGGCTTTATGCCAGCACATGAAGCAATTTCATCGATGTAGCTGATAAAACTCATCTTCAAGTTCTTCCTTTCAGATGGATTACTTCAATTGGACATAAAACAGACAAAATCAAATAGCATCATCCCATCTCAGTTCCCAGTTCCATGGAAAGCAAAAGCTCTGGACTCAGACACTGACCGAGCCCTGGTGTTCAGAGCTGAGCTCACTTAGCCCCAAATAAACCTAAAGGCACTGAAAGAGCCTCTGTGGGGTAGGTCCTCAGTAGTTACCTGGAGCAGGGAATAAGCAGAAGCTCGCTCTTTCTCTGCAACCTAATTGTGGTCTCAAAAAACTGTTCTCACATGATACTGGCATCATTGTAATGCCACAAATGCCCATGCTATGTCCTTCACCAAGGTCCACAGGTGTGTATTTGGCCAATCTTGAGAGGCAGAGGAGTAGACATTCACAGGTAAGACTGACAAGGGGACTGGGAGAATCTGGGAGATGCAGAAAGCTTCCCATGCTGGGAGGGACATCCAGGATTTTTCTGCTTGAGGCCTCATCTCCCTTGCAGGAGGGAGGATATGTACTGAATCTACTTCAGCAAATCTGGGACAGCCTCGACATTGGCTCTGTTGCACCTCTTGTACTTCTGTGTAACAGCATTGCATCTGCAATCGCCAGGGCTCCTGGTGACAATCTCCATGCCTCTGTTTTCTCCCAGATTTTCATCAGTGTCCTATGAGCCAGCTCTGCCTTGCTGGCAAACCTAACCCAGCCTGCACCCCACCTGGCCTGAGGGCCCTTCCTTGCTCCTGAAAGCTGCTACAAGGCAGCATGTCTACCATCACCTTTCCCACAACCTCACGCACGTCTCCACCTCCTGTAAAATCCATGTGCCAACAGGGCAGGATGGTAGCTTACATGTGTACACGATGGATGAACAAGTTCCAGCCTTGTCTAATACTCTTCTCGACCTGTCAAAAACTGCCACCAAAGTGTCCTCCACCCGCATAGCCTGACTGTAATGGGGTTTCTAGATAGGGCTTAGCGCTGACCCCAGTGCTCACTGCTGGCTGGATTTGGGAGGGAGAAGCCACGAGATGGCACCCTTGGTCTGGAGGAAACCAAATCTCCATCTTGACGATGAGAGTAAGTACATGGCTTGGAGACCTAGCGGAGGGATCTGTAGGTCCTGGGTCTTGCCATAAGCTGCTCCAGAGCACTGTGCCCTTGGTCATCCATAAAGGAACCACAAAAGTATTTCCCTACTTCGCTATGAGTGGTGAGGGAATAAATGCATCCAAGAAGTGCTGGGTGACCCAGGGGTGTCCTTCACATAACTGCATTGGGTTCCCTCTTTCCTTGGGTTAACCCTGGCACATGGTGCCATTGCACTCCAAGTGCAGGAGTATCACACACCTTTCGACTGGAGGCTTCTCCTTTAAAACATCAGCCATCATCTTGCTGGTGGGAGGGAGCTTGTTCCAGCCTGAGAAGAATAGAGAAACCAAAACCTACAGCAGCACTTAAAGCTAAAAAGTTCACCCCCCTTGTATGTTCCCAGCCCCTTTACTGAGTGTTCAGTCTCAGTAACTGACTTGATGGTTACAGCAGTGTGTGTGGAGCGGCAGAAATGTGGGGATGCACTTGGGGGGGGCAGACACTACAGTGCTACTAGTGCCCATGGCTACCATGGCTACCATGGGCACTGTGACAGGAGCCAAAATATGCCCTAGGCTCAGAGAGAGAAGGTCAAGCTGCCCCAAGCCTCCCACCCTAGAAGATTATCACATCCTTTCACCCTGTCTCCTACCTGCAAAGATCCCTGTCACCCAGCGAGCCTGCATTTCTGCTCCCACCATCACAGAACCGGTCAGCTGGACTAAGCCAATGATGGCCAGTGTTGGCTTTTCCAGCTGGGGAGGAAAGATGCGTTTATAGAGGGAACGGTTATCATCGAAGAGGCTGCGAACTGACTCTTCAAGGAAAGAAAATGGGAAGATGTAGCCTGTGGCAAACAGCACCACGTCAATGTTTTCTTCAGTTGTCCCATCTTCAAAAACAGCAGACCTTTCCGTGAACTCCTTCACGTTTGACTTCAACACAATGGTCCCAGAGAGGAGGCAAAACGGCAGCTCTTCATTGACAATTACCTTAAAGTTGGAGCTTGCAGGTGGAAAAGAGGACAGCAGTGTTAGCATCTGGGAGGGACGTGAAACATCTTTTGTGGCCACGGTTCCCCTCCAATGGTTTGCTATTCCACAAATACCCCCTGAACTTCAAAATTGAGCATTTCACACCATTAAACCCCTCAGACTAACCAACAAAATAGTTAGAAAAAACACCTTTTGGTGGAAGCCAAGCCATAGTTTGCATGGTTAAACCATGAATTGAACTTCCGAAACCTGATCCTCCTCATGAGTGCTGATGGGAGAAGCCAGTCAAGAAAGTGGTTGAAGCGGGTGGTGCTGATCATGTCTAAGGGGAAGCCTTGGTCTGAGAGCCGGCTGACTACCCATGTGCTGCTCCTGACGCTGAGGAACACCTGGAGGAAAAGGCAGCTCTCAGCCTCCTGCCCAGACATCTCGTTGCCACTTTTGCCTTGAATGGCAAATCCCACCTCCTGCACTTGGGAGCCAAGAGGGTTATCCCAAGGGCAAAGGACAGCATCTGGATGAACCGAACAGCTCGTGGTGGCTTCTGCAAAGTCCCAGCATCTGCTGAATGGCCACTGCTCAGGTGGCCCAGACTCTCCAGGAATTGCAGAGCTTCTTCAATTGCCCTCAGTTTGAAGTGCTGTTTTTTGCTGGCGGTGGGAAAAGCTTCCTGCGTGTACCCTGAGCCACCAGCTCTTGTGGCTGAGCACCGTTGTAGAACTGTACCTTTGCAGCCACGTGGCTCAGTTCCACAGAGAGATCACCACCAGTGTTGCCAATGCCAACCACAAGGACCCTCTTTCCCCGGAAAGCCTCCGCATCTTTGTATTCCCGGCTGTGGAGGTACTGCCCTTTGAAGCGAGTGTCGATACCTAGGCAGAAAGCAGGGAGCATCTCCTACTGCCAGATACATTGGCTTGCCTCACTCAACTTCATTCCTAGACCCTCTGCAACTCCTGACCCTCCACCACCCACCTCTGCTTGCAGCTGAGAAGCTGTAGAGATCTCAGCTCCCAGAGTGATGCCACCCTCCTGCACAGTCCTGCTTTGCAAATTCTCATATAGGAGCCTAGCTGCAGCTTTATGAGGTGTTTTTCCCAATCCCGGGAATGCTCCCCACCATTTCTATGGGGTGAGGGTCCCACCTGCCCCAACATGGAGGCTTCATGGAGCAGGCAGGCTTGCAGAGGAAAATGCAGCCAAGGGACCCATGGGTGCTGCATGAAACCCCGGGGGAGAAGCCCCAGCCCCCCTTCCTGCTGAGGCAGGACTTACCTGGGAAAGAAGCCAGTGGTAAGTAGGGCTCCTGGAAATGGCCAGTGCAAACCATGACGGCATCAAAGATGTGCGACTTCTGGATACCATTGGTCTCAGTGACCACCTCCCACTGGCCTGAGGTGGCGAAATCCGGGCACTTCCTCACACTGAGAACTGTTGTCTTGCACCAAAGCCCAACAAAACAGCAGTCAGGTACTGCACTGCGTTTCACAAAGGACCATCCTGCAAAGGGTGGGGCTGGCAAGGGCAGGCTGGGTCCCTGGGGAGCTGCATATCACCTCTGAAGCTGTTAAATCCCATGCTGCACCTTTCCCCTGGTGATGGCATTGAGGGGGAGATTAACCAGGCAGCCCATGTTGGAGCAGCCTAATTTAAAACTTGGAGCCAAAAAGGCTGTGTTCAGGATGCAAAAGGGACATGGTCCTCAAGGGATCACATCTGGCATTGTATTATCCCACCTGGGTGATGCCCTGGTAACTCCTGCCACTGGTGGCTCTACTGCCCCTGACGTTTGGGGTCCCCGCTCACCTTGAAGTGTATGTGCCGCAGGAGGTCAAAGTGCCGGGCATACATCCGAAAGTACTCCATGAGGAGACTGTGGGGTAGGTAACTGGGAAAATATTCTGGGCAGGGAAAGTCACTGAAGCAGGACATCTCCTTGGAGGTGTTGGTAATGACTGACTGGTACACACTGACTCTTCTGCTGTCCATGGAGCTCTGTGTGAAGCCAGCAGTGCCATTTGCAGGTGTATGGGGGAGGAGTTTCTCCCCCCAAAGTACCCGAGTATTTTTCCTGCTTGTATTTGGGTACAAGGAATAAACCAGGATTAGTGCCTGGTGACCATGCCTTCCACTCCCTCCATCTCCTGCTCCACCTTGGAGTCATGTGGAGCCCTGTGCCTGGGACAGGGACATTCCGCAAGGGCATGGCCACCTTTTTCTCTTTGCTGCAAAGCAAAGGGGATCCAAGGGAAGGGATAAACCCAGGGACAATCCTCCCCCTTCTGGCAGAGCCCACTGACCGTGTAGCGCCAGAGCCCCCCGATGTCCTCACTCCTCTCGAAGCAGGTGGGCTCCAGCCCCTCATCCAGGCAGCATTTGACAGAGGCCAACCCGCTGACCCCGGCCCCGATAATGGCCACACTCCGCACCATGCTGTCCTGCAGCAGGCAATAGGCCATCGTGCAAGCGACTGGAAATAACTCAGAGATTAGCAGAAACACCAGTCCTTTCTTCCTATCCCAGCAAAACATCCCTGGTCTTCTCTGGCTGAGGGTGTCCACAGAGGACAACTGTCTTTGTAGAAAGCCATCGCCATTTCTTAGCTTAATCATTATGGATGGTCACTGCTCATTACCCTTCCTGCTGTGCTAAGCTTGCACTGAAGGCCCAGCAATTCCCCTCCTGCAGGTGGGGGAAAAGGACTTTTAAACATCACTGTGCTGCTGCTTCTACTTATTCTGTTTCCTGGAACAAACCAGGGCACACAAAGACAGGGAAAGGGCTTGCAGCTATCTGCTTCTGTCTGCACAAAATTATCCTCCTGAAACTTTTTCAGGGAACAATCCACCTAAGCTGGCTCATTTTCATGCTTTGCTTTTTTAACTTCCCATTAAAGGACTTCTTCTCAAAAACAAAAAGTTTGTGGTTTTTTGGTTTGGCTTTTTTTTAAGTGATGCCTGCCTGAGCAGGAGCACAGCTCAGTGATTCAGAAGTTAGACAGCACTGTGAAAATGTGGCTGGGATTACAGAATATACAAAAGATAAGAAACCCAGGAAACGCAGGGTATAAATGGAAGGAACTCAAAGCTCGGGTAACTGTGTAAACTGAGCTGTACCGAACTTCACTGGAAAGCAAGAAAACTGGGAAGAAAATGACCCCACATTAACTTTGATTAGATAACAAACATTCCTGCTGCAGACTCTGAAGAAAGAGTTATTTATAACTTTTTCCGTATCCGTTTTGTGTCAACAAGAACGTTAGTGTAAACAGGAACTGGAAGAAACTGCAGAAAGCCAGGGAAAAATGAGGGGGGAGCAAAAAAATCCCTCTGCATCTAAAAGCCTAGCCTGAGCAGCCCCTTGATCTGCAGAAACAGGGCAGGATGTGCCACCCCCCATTTCTGGAGCCTCCCTCGGCTTTGGCAAAAGGCAGCAACATGGCCGGGATACTAAAGTCACCCCCCTTTTCCAGCGCTGCCTACAAACAGCTTTGCTCTGATAGGTCCCCACAACACCACCATCTCCCCCCACCAGCAGCAAGGCGAAGCCAGTGGCGAATAACAAAACCCCACGGCGCTGGATGCCCACTTTTAAAACCTACAAAACCCAGCCACAAAGAAGTGAGGAGCAAACCTTGCAGGGCAGTGCTGTGCCTTCACTGCTCGAACTTTGCTTCAAGTTTCTCTCACGGCAGATTCGAAGGAAAGGCTGAAGTTCGAGCACCTCGCTGCACCTCTTGCACCACTGACCTTTACACTCACATTCCGCTTCTCTGCTGTGCTTAAATACACTGACAGAAAGTTCACAACGTCTCTGTGGCAGTGCCTGGTAGAAACATGGACTGTAATTACAAAGAGGCTGTGCTTGCAAGAACTTGCACGCTGCAGCTCACTGCTGCCCCAACAGCAGCCTGGGGTTGTCCTGATTCATCCCCCATGTGCTGCTTGTGCAGGACAGGGGCTCACTTGGCATCCCTGGGAAATCAGAAAAACACATTCTCTTTGACCCCAGGCAAGCAGATGGCATGGATGGGTGACATAGTGCGAAGTGCAGCCTAATTCTGGTTGGTCAGTGAAAGTTCCTGCGGACCCAAGCTTGTGGGTTGCCCACAGCACCTGCTGGCATGGCCCCAGCCCAGGCATGGGGACCCCCAGCTCTTCCAGTGCACGCTGAATGATGAGGCTACAGTCAATGAGGTTCTATTGATTGAAATACTCTCTGCATACAAAACGAAGTCCCAGGATTGTCCTGAAGGTGCTGGGCAGCACAGGGAAGCAGAGCTGGAAGTGGTCAGCCCTACAGAATATCAGCCTTGGTCTCAGGGGTGACAAATCACCACAGCCAGGGCTCTTTTGCTGAAAGTTGCACTGATTCAACCCAAACTGGGATTTTTCAGTAATAGGATTTAAGGTTGGAGGAAGGGACAACCTGACCTGCAGACCCAGCCCAGAAACCCCCTTGCTGGACTAAAGACCCCAACTTCCAGGTGATTTGGGGCAGGGCTAGGCACCTGTGCTCCTTTCCATCTAACACCCAAAGCTGTTTTCAGTAGTCTTGTCCTCACTGCATCCAGGCCAGCATGGTGCAGGCACATCCATACTCTGCTCACCACAGCAGGTGGGAGAGCAGCAGAGGGGCAGAGGCTGCTAGCCCCAGGTAATCAGGTCTGCAAAGCTGTGGCTGGGAGAGAGTTGGAACAGAGAGAGGTTTTGTGCTGCTGGTTGAAATATTTAATTTGTTGTGATCTGCTGAAATTCCTTTCCCCTTGTCCCATGGCACACTGTGGGGCCGTGCAACCTGAAATAACATCCCCAGGGACAAGACAAGACCCTAAAATCTACTGGAAACAAAGCAACAGGGCAGCCATGAGCAGGAGGAACCCCACCACCATCAGGAGAGAAGGGAAGGGGTTGGAGATGCCAGTAGGGACTCGTGTTCTTGTGGGCTTCAGGGTCCGGTCCCACTGGGTGAGGATGGCCTGGCGTGCCCCCTCCCAGCGCCCGGGGCCCTTCAGCCGGTACTGGTATGGGGTGCAGGGGCCAAAGAAAACGGTGAGGGCCAGCTGGGGGTCTCTGCAGAGCAGCTCCATCATGCTGGGCTTCACACCAATGAAGGAGGCAAGCTTGTCCATGTAGACCAGGCAATCGGTTTTGAGGACTTCGTCAAAGGACAGACCAAACCTTAATGAATGGGAGAAGAAAAAGAGGTGGGAGAAGAATTTGTGTCAACAGGGCTGAGGGGAACTGAAGGTCAAATCCTCTGCACAACCACTGATAATGCATCTGAACACAAGTTGGCTCCTCTTAGAAAAAGAATGGGTGCACATGCACCCTGGGTCTGTCTGGGCCTAAATCATATAGTGATATAGCATGTGTAAAGTGATGCTGGATCAGGTACACACCTTTCTCACGTGCATTAGCTGGTCTTTCATTTCATCACACACAAGTTGTATCTGGCCTCCCCTTCATTTTGGTGGACCTCTTGTAAAAGACTTTGTCAAACCAGTTGGTTTGGGGTTGTTGTTTTGGTTTTGGGTTGTTTATTTTTTTTGGTGGTTTTTGTTTATTGGTTAGTTTTTTGGTTTTGTTTTTTTTTAAACCCTGGCTTTCCCTTTGCTCTCTGCAGAAAAGTCACGTGCAGCATTAGAAAGGCAGCACCCTTGTACTCTTTAGTTTCTCTCACATTCTTTTCCACAAGTATTTAAAAAAATGCAGGGTAAATAGGAGAATTGCTTCCAGTTTTCCTTCTCTGCAGAATTCACAGCTTCATGTCCCACCTTCAGTGGGAAAAGAGCCATGTGTGTTTAGCTTTGTACAGTACAGCTATCATTCTGTGCAATTCTGTATTTTACTCTTCTATACCTTTTCTGTTGTAGCTATCCAGGTGAACTATGGATTGACATATCACCCATTTTCCTAGTTTTATCTCATTCATTTACCTCTGTTTCTTAGCCTTTTATTTGACCCTTTGCCTGCCCATGAACTACATGCCAGTGTGCGTAGTTCACAGTGAGTCATCTCTCCATGCTGAGAGGTGAGGCAATTGTATGTACACCTCAGGTTGGAGGGTTTTTTTTCCCAGCTGAATTACTTTGCATTTATTACCATTAATTTCTCTGGCATTTTACCTTGCAGTCCCTGGGGAACCTGGCACACTTCCCCAACTCCCAAGCAAGTTTTAGTTTTGACTACTCTGAATTCATTTTTTCCTGAATTCATTTTCCTGAATTCATTTTCAACAAGCAGAATATCTGTCAAATCAAAGCTTATGTTGGGTGAGTGCAAGTAAAAGGGGTGGCTGGATCTGGGCATCTCTGCCTTGTCTCTGCTATATGTGTGGGGAGCAGCCACAGAGCGTGAGCCTGCATGTTGCTGCCCCCCAGACTCCAGGGGCTTGTCAATCCACTGCAAAAAGCTTTGTGGCTCTACTGAATGGCTTACCATTGTACTTGGTTTTTGCTCTTCTCATATACTTCCTTCTCCATGACAGACTGAGGAGGCAACTGACACAAGCCTAGAGGAGAGAGGAGAGCATCCTGCAGAGTTTAACTCCTGGGGGGACTTGTGCACTCATTCAGAGATACAAAACATGGAACCCCTTCCAAGGGAGGCAGGAAAGCCTCGTTGCTCAGATTTTGCTCAGCAGTGGCAATTCTGCCAGAAGCCAGCCCTCCACAGTGGTACAAATTCACCTGCACTTTTTCCTCTTCTTACAGATTTGTGCTGTCATAGCACAGGCCAACGATGTGGGGTGAGATGGGCCATGCAAATCACAGAGTCTATCATCCCAAAGAGAAACCTCAGAGCTTCCTCTGGCTCTGTGGAGGAGCCTTAATGCAGCCCTACACACAAGCCTAGTAGGAAATTATTTTTGTAAAACAACAAAACAACCCCCAGTGGTATTTTTCTTCGTACACCCATAATTACAAATAATTCCTTTTTTGTGCGGCAAAGGGACTCTTCCTCTCTGGTAGCCACTGTGGACAAACAACCCTGTCCTTTACAGAGAAAAAAATTCTGCCAGAGTGGACCCACCACAGTATCTTAAAGACAACTCTTATTTATGCATCCAGGTTTACATATCCATCTCTGTGCTCTGACTTCTGAGATATTTTATGGAAAAAATACTATCTTCAACAACATAGTTTAGACTGTGGTTTGCAGACTCAGGTGCAGGACTGCACATCAGCTGGGTCACAGTGAGGAACGGAGCGCACACTCTTGGCTGGCAGCAGGCAGGTACAAAGCATTAGCTTAGAAACATCAACTTAACTGGCAAGAAAAAAGTGATTTAAGGGATGTGTCATGAACTTGCATGTAGCTTGGACCAAGCATACACCATGTTGCTATAGCTTAGCTGAAGTGAAATAACTTGGAAAGTCTGAGCTCTGGAAATGCTCCCTTGTCCACACTGAAGAGCTCACATTAGTTCTCCTACCTTTGAAGACACGGGTCACCCAGCGTGCTTGCATCTCTGTCACAGGCATGATGGCTCCAAGTGGCTTGATCAGCCCAAGGATGGCCAGAGTGGGCCTCTGCAGGCAGGTTGGGAACACATATTCGTAGAGGGATGCGTGTTTGTTTTCCACCTTGACGACTGCTTCGTCTAGGAATGGGAAGGAGACATTGTAGCCTGTGCAGAAGACGACGATATCAATGGGCTCCTCCTCAGGACAGTTGTGGAAAACAACTGTGTTGTCCTTGAACTCCTTCACACTTGGCTTGATGGTGATCCTCCCTGTCAGGATGTAGCTTGGAAGGTCGTCATTGATCACAGGCTCACGCACCAGGCGTCTGTGGAGAGCAGAGGGGCTCAGAGCATTGGAGACCATGAACAAGCCCTGCTGGTGCCCCTGCTCCTCATCCCCTCGGCCCTCCAGCCCCACAACCTCTCAGTATCGTTTGCTCAGAGCAGACAGCCCTGCCCCTCCCTTCTCCAAACACTGACATATTTCACCCTTGCATGAGTGTCACCCTGTCCCACAGCCTGAGTGACTCATGGACATCTCCTGCCTTCTTCCTCTCTTCACTCCATTACCCTTCAAACCGTCTCTTTACAGAGCTGATCCATGCTTTAAGCCTCCTCTTCTTTTCCCAGGGAGCCTCACAAGGAAAACTCCTCTGGTCCTTCCTGGACTTTTCCAGTGTGCTCCATCTCCTAAGGGGACACACCTAAGGGGGCTACAGCTTGTCTGCCCCTGCTAGGCTATAAACTCCCCACTGGAGACCACCCTAGTCTGGGTGTTGATTGCTGCATTGGTTGATGTTGATTGCTGGAGATCTCCCCGACCCACATCACAAGCCCTGTGACACCACACGGGATGGGAGACACCAAGAAGTACCTCTTCTCTGGTTGAAGGCCATAGTTTTCATGCTTGAACCGCTGGTTCACCTTGTAGTTAATCAAGCCCCATGAAAGGGGTCCGGGGAGGTTGTTTCTGATCAGGCTCATAAGGCGAGTGTTAAAAACCATGTCCCATGGGTAGCCATGGTCAAACACACGACTGAGCACCCAGGCACCTTGGCTGGTGCAAATGGTCACCTGGGAGAGAGCGGAGAATCAACAAGTTGGGTGATGAATTTGACTTTATAAAGCAAACAAAGGGTTAAAGCACAAACAGCTTTGCAATCAAAAAAGCAGCAACAGCATCTTTAAGAACTCTCGGCAGCTGGTGATGGAGGTTAAACAAGAGAGAAGAAAACAACCAGCTTGCTTTAAGGATTTTGATCAAGAAATACAGATCCAGAAATACTGTTTGGACACTACACAGGGTAAACCCAGCTTTCTCTCCCTGCAGTGATGGCAAACTCAGCTATTGCCTCCAGCATCACCCTCCCGGAACTCCTGAGGTGGCTGGGTGGTTGTACCTTTGTGGCTACACGACTGGCCTCCACTGCAATATCCACTCCTGAATTGCCCATGCCGACCACGAGGACGCGCTTTCCCTGAAACACATCAGGGTGCTTGTACTGTTGGCTGTGAAAGTACTGGCCTTGAAACCTCTCGATGCCTTGGGAAAAAGAAACAAAGCTTTTAACTACACAAGCTTTGTAGGTTTGGTTAGGAGACCTGGCATAGAAATAATTCAGACGGCAAGAACAAGGAAGTGCAATCCCTGGCCAATGGGGATTTGGGAAGATACAGCGCCCCCATCTCACACACATAGAACTGGCGCTTCCTCTCTAAAATGAGGTCTCATGCACCCACGCACTCCAGTGAGCAGTGACACGTGCGCTGGATGGGACTTTAAAGACGGTTTATGTGAAAGAGCTGTGCTGGTGCAGTCTCAGGATTCAGCCTTTACAAGACGGAGATACAAAGATTCAGAAAAGCCAGTAACCTCTTCCATTCTGTGAACAGCTTCAGAAGCACTTGACAATGCTGATGACAAAGCAACCCTTTCTATCCTGACAGCTGGCTAGGTTCATCACTGCAGTGCTTAGTACATCTCTGTCAAAAATGATGGAGCTTCACTGAGAGGACCTTGTCCCATCTCACATACTGTGCAAACAGTTTCTTCATGCCAAATCATCCTATCTTAAAGATTTATTCGTGCCAGTGCCTGCAGAGACAAAGCTGCTGAAGCACAGGAAGTATTGCTGTTCACGCCAGGAGGTCTGAAAAGCAGAAGCAAGTAAAGGAAGCATTTTCCCCAAGGAACATCTAACCCTTTTACCCCCCAGCCCGTAGAAGCAGGTAACCACAGGCAACCAAGTACTGTACCAGGAAAACAGTGCAGGGGGAGGGATGGCTCATAGAAATTGCCACTGCAAACCATAACGGCATTGAAGATATGTGATGTCTTCTTTCCGTCCACCTCTGTGACCACATCCCACTGTCCTGTGGTAGCAAAGTCTGGGCATTTCTGGATGCTGACAACGGTGGTCTGAAATATGGAAGTGAAGCAGTGTTCTCACTAGCAGCCAGCATGTGTGGGAAGCAGGACAGTGACAGGGCACCCACCACTCACCTCAAATTTGATGTGCTTCCGGAGGCCAAAGCGCTCAGCATAGCGCCGGAGGTAGTCCAGTAGCCTGGCATTGGGTAGGAACACTGGGAAGTCCTCAGGGTAGGGGAAGTCGGAGAATGCTGACATCTCCTTTGAGGTGTTGCTGATGACTGATGGGTACAGGCTTGGCCGGCCAGCCTCGATGTGCTCCTGGCATGGTACCCCGGGGTGCAGCAGGGAGAGTTCAGCACCCAGCAAGCTTTTGCACCCCTTCCCCACTCACTGGAGCCCAGCTCAACCCGCTCCCCAGCCTGCAAAGCTGCAGCTCCTGCCAGAAGCAGAACAGGCGCTGCTGACTCACCGTATAGCGCCAGAGCCCCCCGATGTCCTGGCTCCGCTCGAAGCAGGTGGGCTCCAGCCCCTCATCCAGGCAGCACTTAGTGGCAGTCAGCCCACTGACACCCGCGCCCACCACCGCCACTCTCATCCCTGCTGTCTTTGCTGGGATCCCAGGGACTTAACCTGGGAGAAACCCCACAGACAGTCACCACTCTCTCAGGGAGCAGCTGCTGACATACCCTCTATAGGGGAATTTCTCTACATGCCACCCCCAAAACTTCATTCCCTCTACCAGCATTCTGGGGTCTTCATTTACAAGTTTAAATCTTAATTTTCTCATTTTCTTCCTAATTTTTATTTTATTTTATTTTAATAAATTCATCCACTTTTACAGTGCACTCACCAAGCTGCTTCCAAAACCCTGCAGCAGTGCTGGAAACTCTCTTTGAAGGTATGTAGTCAAGCCACAGGTCACTGCCAATATTTATTTACAAGCTGTGTTTAAACTATGCCTCCTTAGCAGTCTTGCAAATATTTGTATTTTATCTTTGGAGACCTGCCCCTGCCTTTCTCAGACAAGAAAACAAAATGCACACCAGGACTACTGAGTTTCTGCCCCCCTGACTGAGTCCTGTCCTCTATCCCCAGGGAAGATGTTACTGTCTTTGACGTGGCTAAGGAGGCAGGTGAAGGGCTATGGGTATAGCAGAGCTTGGATTTAGGGCTGTTTTTTTGTCTGCCTCCCAAAGTCAGCCCACTGGGGATGTCAGGGCTGCAAATAGTTTTAAAAGACAGCAGCCCATGGCTTGATACCTAGCCCCATGAGGGTCACAGGGTAGAGATGATGGTAGACCCAAAGCCCTCTTGATACTGCTGGGCAGTGAAACAAGGGATGATGGCCAGGCAGCTCAGGCTGGACATTGCCAGAGCAAGGACCACCACTCATCAGTCTTTGCTGCAGCAGTCCCTGGTTTAACCCCAGCACCATCAGGTAGCACTGTGCTTGGCTGAGTTAGTTATTAACCTGGTGCACTGTGACAGCACTACAGCTTGCTGGCACCAGCTCTTTTGCCCCAGGAAGCAGTTTCAGCTTCTGCCAGACACAGACGATGGCGTATCCATCAGAAAAAACAAAAAGTCCTCAATAGAAAAATGGGGTAGGACACTATTTTCTAAACCCCACTAAATTCCCCATGAAGAATTTCAATTTTCAGTAGGAAGGCAGCACCTAATGAATACTCCGCTTTCCAAGGCTGGAATGAAAACCGGACTTTTTCCTTTTTCAGTGAAGAAAGTGATAGAACAAGCTGCTCATTGCTAACTATTTTGTGGGAGGGTTTTTTGCATAGTGTGAGTTAACTTTTATCACAGACATCTCCCAGCTATGTATGCTATTTAATTCCCTACCCTTCTGCAGAGAAGATAGAAATAACAATTAGGAAACACCATCTCAGCTGCCCCATGCCTGTTTCTGCCACACTGTCTCTGCAATTATGTGTAGCAGTGAACCTCAGAGCCTCAAGATGTGGGGCAAGGAGGGATGGAAAGGCTTTGCAGCCACCCAGGAACACTTACCTCCTAGCCTTGGCTGCCTGTGCTCTGTCTTGCCACTGCTGCAGGGAGAGTCCCCTCTCGCTCCCAGTTTATAGGTGAGACACAGCTCTTTGGCAGAAGCAGGGCAGAGCAAGCAGCTCCCCTCGCACAGGCACGGTCACCCCACTCACACAGCGGTTGCACAACCAGAGTTTGCAGTGGGAGGAGTGGCTGTGCAATTCTGCTGTTGTGCAGAGTGAGCCGGATGGCCTGGCTGATGATCACTGAAGGGGGATATCATGTGGGGAGGAGAGACCAAAGTGGTCCAAACGTGTTCTGCAGTCATGCAAGAAGTATCTGTGTGCAGGAGTGACTCCAGCTGTGGGATGTTTTCACTTGCTTCATGGCTGCCTTTCCAGAAGGAGACAAAGCAGTTAATGGACAGCAGGTTTTTGGCAGGAATTTGCCCCTAGAGCATTCTTCAAAAGAAAGCAGAAAAGCGGTCATTGCTCCCGGGCACGAAGGCTGCATTGCACCCTCAGCCACAGGTATTGCTGCTGGGTGTGGGCAGGAGGCTCCCCATGCAGACTGGAAGAGCATGAAATGGCCACAAACACTAGTGTACCAAGGTCCTAAGCACAAAGAAAGTGGAAATGTTAATTGAAATATCAGTGGAGGACATAGTACCCATCCAGGTATCTCCCAGGGGTAAATGATCATGGAAATGAAGGAGACAAGGGTGGCATTGGACAGGGCTTTGTTCCCAGCTACTCAATATACTTAGGAGTGACTGGTGAGAAAGTATGAAATCTCTGCAAATGAATACAGCTGGACACAGATGCCATGGAGAAACAGTTGATAGAGGACTGGATCTTTAGGAAAAACATCATTTAGAAAAAGACATAGTAATATTTGTGCCATGGGGGTGACAGCAGATTGCTTACTGGGGCTCTGCAGTGTGAGTGCAGGGGACATGGGTGAAAGCTGATGGCCCCATCAAGACATCACCTTGACAGTGACAAAGGCACCCCCAGAGCAGTGGGCCAAGATTTTATATCAGCTCTTTAATCAGTTTGAATAACCAAAGAGGCTGCAAGGAGGGACAGAAAAACCTATTTGAGGTTTGCAGAGTAGAAGGCGGTAAATAAAGCAGCTCCATCCAACAGAGACATCTGTTCAGAGCCCGCTTTCAGATCTGCAGAGGCACGAGATGAGCCTATAGCTGAGAGTTGAAGCTAGAGGTGGAAATAAGATGCATATCGGTAACAAGGAAGGTAATCAGCCATGGGAAAAGTCTGCTGAGCTCTGTGGTGAACCCAGGCACTTGAACAAAACACCTTTGTTTTGTGGAGAACAGGACTCACTGCTGCTGTGCTGGGGCACTGCTGGGAGTACAGCAGCTTGGGCTGCCACCCACCTGCAGCACCCAAAAAGAGACATCAGCCTTCTCTGGCTTCCCTGCCCCAGTGTCTCCTGCTGTTTCTGCCCAGTGCCTGGCTCCTGGGATTGTCCTGGGAGCATATTAGGTCTAGAGCACATGTGCAGTCTGGGGCTGACTGTGCCAGGTGCCCTCCAGCACAGCTCAGTGAGCAGTGGCTGAGAGCGGTGCATCTGCAGGGGCTGGAACCTGAGAAATCAAACTCATTAATTTGAGTTCAGGTTTCAGACCACTGTCAGCAGCATGAAGAAACAGTCAGATTTTGCTGGGACGATGAGACACAGTAATGGAGGCAAATGGGCAAACGAGCCTTGCACATATTTGATGCTGCTGGGATTTGCATGGGCTATGTCTCCCAGCTCTCCCTCCCGCTGGACTCTTCTGCAGATGCACTAAACCTTGCACCTGCAAAGATGCTTGCCAGCACTCAGCAAAAAAAATATAGTAGGCAAATATAAATAGGCAAATACTTTGTTCTTCACATGCTCCTGCTTTTCTGAGTTTCCCAGCAGGCATTCAAGTGACTCACAGTTAGAAGGACAGTGTGATAGCTTCCCAGGAGTGGTGTTAGTGCTTTTGGGAGGGCAGTTCAGGGAAGTTTTCTAAAAGAACAAGTTGTATTTTGAAGTAGATGAGCTACTGGCATAGAAATGGGGCCAGATGCCTTTGGTGCAGCTGCTTCCAGTAGTGGCAGCTCTGGCCATGCCTGATGGAGAATCTGGTCTGGAGGTACAGGACAAGATGCAGTGCATGGTACTTCATGAGTATAGGGTAAAAACACCTCCATAGCCTGAACACCCTGGGATTAAAACTCACTTTCCTGTCACCTGCCTCAGGTCAGTGGTGTTCCCTTCCACAAATAGCCCTGTAATGGCCTGAACAAGGTATGCAGAATAGAGTATTAGTGGAGATGAGCAGTGCGATAGCAGGGAGGTAATTACTGTAATAATTATATGCAAACATGCACGTCCAGGGCACTGAAAAGTCCTTGAAACAGAGGGAAATTCTGGTTGCTTTACTCAACTCTGCTGCTGGCATGGCAGTGGATGGCATCCTGGGACACATCTCACCAGCTTATCTCCATGAGTAGTCTGTGCAGAGCAGAGCAGAGTCAAAATGTCAGTGGGTTTCTATACGTTCTCAGGGCTTGAAAAATGTCTTTATGGCCTGGCATTCAAGCAGAGCATCTCTTGGTACCCTCAGGCCAGTCCCCCTGAATTTCTGTTATTGTGAAGACAGAAGCGGACACAGAGGTCCCTGTACCCGCTTCTGAGCAAGTGGGACATGCTATCACCCCATCAGGGAGGGAAGGGGGGCCCTGCCATTACTACTGCACATACACAAACTGGTGGGGAAAATGGGCTTTCACCAAGGGATGGTGTGAGGCTAAGTGAGGGCACGTTATCTGGGGAACTGTTTTACCACCTTCCCTCTACCCAGCCTGGGACACCAAAAAGCTGGGTCTGTCCACATTCTCACATGCTGGGGGAAAAGCCCTGTTAGATGCCAGGGGTGTATCAGTCATGAAGGACCATGGGGAGAGCCAGGATCAGTAAATAACTGCTGGTGGCTGAGGACAAGAACTGGCAATAGGATGCTCATGCACCTACCTGCCTGCTGGTGAGCCCTTTCTTCCTTGGAGAAGTAAAGCTCTCTAGCACTGTGGTGCAAGCCTGGGCTTTGCAACACGCTTTTTTATCCCTAAAGCAGAGGCAAAGAAAAACTTAATATGCCCATTTAATCTTAATCAGATGTGAAAGGAACCTTCTTTGCAAAACTCTGGCACCAGTTTCATCATCTCTGTTTAAAATAGCAACTTAAGACACAGAGGGGCAGATCTATGTGTAAACAGCTCTCAGCACAGCCTGCTTTGCTGTTTAATAGACTTGTGCCAGCAGCTTTTAGCATGTGTCATGGTGAAGGGAGACAAGGAAAAGAAAGAAATAAGGCAGTTTCTTCTTAAGCCAGTCTCTAAGCAAAGCAGGGAACTCACTGTCAAGCAGCCACTGCTAAATGTGCTCAGGAGCTGATGGGATGTGCAGTCTGGATTCATCACTGAAACAGGCTGTTTGATAGTGATCCATGAAGTGAACAGAGGCTGCAAGCAGCTGCTGTTGGAAAAAAATCCGCCCCCCCCCCCCCCCCCCCCCCCCTGCATTTCTTAGAGCCTGGATTTTGGCCCTGAAAAATCTGCTTATTCTTTGGCCCGAAGGCCAAAAGGCAGTTTCCTGCTTAAAAAACAGATAAAACTCTTCATCAGGGACTGTAGCGGTAAGACAAGGGGTTTAAACTTAAACAGGGGAGGTCCAAATTAGGTATAAGGAAGAAATTCTTCCCTGTGAGGGTGGTGAGGCACTGGAACAGGTTGCCCAAAGAACTGGTAAATGCTCCATCCCTGGCGGTGTTGAAGGCCAGGTTGGACAGAGCCTTGGGTGGCATGTTTTAGTGTGAGGTGTCCCTGCCCATGGCAGGGGAGTTGGAACTAGATGATCTTAAGGTCCTTTTCAGCCCTAAACATTCTATGATTCTACAGTGAAACCTCTGCCCTAGGCAGCAGGGACTGTGCTCCTGTTCGTTATTCCCAGCACATAGAGGACACTGTCAGTGACAAACACTGTCAGGACACTTCTGTTTCATTTTAGTCAGAGCTAGGTACATTCAGTATTCTGAACTCTTCCTGAATCCTCTCAAGAGGTATTAAGGAGTGCCAGAGGACGTGCTGGAGCAGCCATGAGCTGTAGCAGCTACTATGGTAGAGGTAGAGGTAGAGGCAAGGAGGTCTCTGTGTGGAAGGCACAAAAGTTTTACTCCAACATACTTGGCAAACTTTAACCTGATTTAATAATAAACTACCATGTTTTGCAGGAATGCAACCTGTGAAATTTGTTTAACAAGGGCTGCTGCTGCCCTTCTTAAACCTGTTGCGTTAAGAAAGCCTGGAGAACTGCAGTTTTTAACTTCTTGGTTTCAGAGATCTTAAAACGTGCATTTTAGAGCTTCCCCAGATAACTGCTTAAAAACCTTCACAAGAACAACTCTGATGGAAAAATACACCCTACATTGCTCACCATGTCTTTGTAGCAGGACTCAAAGTGGATAAAAACATATGCTCCCCAAGTGCTAGGGGAGATGCACCCAAGTAATATGCAGCACTGGGAAGGGCTTTAGAGCCTCCTCAGCTCTTCTGAGCCAAACCTCAATTGTAAAGGGTCTCTCACTGTTGTTTCACCAGTAATAGAACATAATTACTGAAGAGGCTATCCGAGCAAATTGGAATTACAGTTAAGGTAGCTTGTAAGTAAATAATTGTAAGAAAGGGCTGTCTGGAGAGCACATGGTTAGGACATGCACAGGCCAACCTGAAGGTTCCTTCCTTCCACCACCACATGAAGTCATCCATCAGCCATCAAATGTTTTCAAATATTCATTCAGCACAGCTGACCCATTTCTGTAAATATTGACCACACTGCCAGGCCCTGGCCAGTTTGAATGGTTTCAATTCCTGCTGCCTCTCTGAGAGCATCATGAGGGCCTCGGCTGGCTGAGATTCCTGTCCTTCAGCACAGGCAGCATTCCTAATTTGGACAGAGGTATGTTCCAGCACCATCCCAGCCTCCCACCTGAGAGCACTCTTGTGTATTTATTCCCAGAAATTAGGGGTTTTTAAGAGGACAAGGTAGAATAGGAAGGTGCTACTCTCAGACCACTCAGCAGTACGTTGCTGAGGAGCCAGCACAGGCATTATGGACCTCTGTTAGCTCACATTTACTAGCAAATCTTCTTTCTCT